AAAATGACTTTTACTGATCTTTACAATATTCATTAAATTGGTAGCAAATGTCGTCGTAGGACAATCTTTAAAAGTACTGAATTGATATGCTGTTTAGCAAAGAGTAAAAATAAAGCAAATGTAGACAAAATTTGGATACTTTGTATGAAGCAAGATACTTAAATGACTTTTAGATCTATAAGTGCTACTTGATATCGCTTTGGGACTTGAACTATGAAATATTCAGCTCCCTTTTTCTTTCATTTTGAATATCAACGTGTATGTTTAAACTTCCATTTGATTATTTGCAGTGAATATAATTGGTTTTGTTTTGTAGTTTCTTTCTCCCTTAAGATCTTATCTTTCGACGTTCCTCAAACTGCACTACGAGGCCAAGAAGTTCGCCTGACTTGTTCTTATGACCTAGAGGGAGAAAAACTTTATTCTGTGAAGTGGTATCGAGATGATATGGAGTTTTTCAGATTTGTCCCACGAGATGAGCCTCAACAACTTTACTTTCCTCTTGAAGGGATAGAAGTCGATGTAAGCAACAACACTGTCGTTTATTTTTATTGTTTTCTTTTTAACTTTGTTAAGCATACTAGAAAAAATATACAATTTGCAAGTTACATTGCTGTTACCACAATATTATTGTTAGAAAAGGTTAACAAATAATATTCTATGAAAACCAAAAGAGGCTTCTAGTTTCTCAACAAATAGTGAGATTTAGAAGGATAATAACCGAAAATATCGGGATAGTAAAAAACCAGCAAACTATCTCATGCCTAATATGTCATGAAGAAAAAAAAAAGGTCTTAAAATATAAAAGATGTCAATACATGTAAACCTAATATAAGACAAGCAAAAGCAAAAACATAAAAGTTGTCAATACATGTAAACCTAATGTAAAACAAGCAGAAGCAAAAGTATAAAAGATGTCAATACATGTAAACCTAATGTAAGACAAGCAGAAGTAAAAATATAAAAATGTCAATACATGTAAACCTAATGTAAGACAAGCAGAAGCAAAAATATAAAAGTTGTCAATACATGTAAACCTAATGTAAGACAAGCAGAAGCAAAAATATAAAAGATGTCAATACATGTAAACCTAATGTAAGACAAGCAGAAGCAAAATTTGCAGACATCTCGAGAGTTGGGAGGCCCTGATTTTTGTTTTATAATATTTAGATGTATTGTTGTGTATTCACATGTTTCTAAACATGTTGCAATTCACACATTTCACCGGTTTAAAAATTAAAGTGCATGACGGTTTTATTTGGTCATTTCTTAGGGGATACTTTAATTATTTATTTTCTATTGACGCTATTGATTACAAGAATAAATTCATCAATATATCGTTGTTTTTGTTCTCGTTCGTGATAACAGTTTCAAGTTTTACCCCAAATCGGTACAACACACGGAAAAGTGGTAATGAAATCCAATAATAAATTGGTCTTCACATATATTTTTTAAGTAAAAATCAGTAACCTTGTTTACGTTTTTTTTTAGGTTTTCTGAGCGTCAGGAGTACTATTTGAAATTGAATCACTGTCGCAGCTGAAGTGTTAGAAATAACAATATAGAATGTATTATCTTTATATTTTCAATTTAATTTAACACATTCGATTGACTTTACTAACGAAATAATCCCCTCAAACCATCTGCCAAAAGTAGATGGTGTAGTTAAATCATAGATTGCTTCTTATTCATAGCTCAAAAACTGTTATGAATAAACCGATATGAAATAATTACTTCCTTTCATGACTTATATTATGTTTATTCCGAATATATCAAATAAACACTGACCTCAGAGTTCGTGAACAATTTGCATACGATACCTCTTATTGAAAAAACAAACAAACAAATTTACATTTTAACACATAAATAAAAAAAATTGTTTCTAAACCCTAAAGTGTCCACCGCTAGGACAGCGGTAAGTATTCGAATTTACATTGCTAAAATCAACGGTTCGATTTCCCCTCGGTAAAAGCAGTAGAGAGCCCGATGTGGCTTTACTATGAGTAAAACACACACAGACTCTAAAGTGTGTTTATTGTAAATAATGGATTATTTTCAAAACGTTAATAATTTATGTAATTGTTGCCAAAATCTGAAATGAGAAATTGATCATTCAATTGCATAGGCTACAATTATGCCAAACAACTTTTTTTACTTAACTTATATTTTGAACACAAGAGACGCACTTTAAAACATACATTTGACTCACCTTTCAAAATGTTTATGTTTCAAATAAATATTTCCAATGTTATTAAAATCATTTAGTACGTATTCTATTTATTTACTTTCTTAAAGGCTAGAAGACATATAAATGATTTTCAAGATCGGCAGCTATCAGTTTCTTTGTGAAATGTTACCACAAGTAAAACTTTAAGAGTCTCAAACACGGTCTTAAACAGCATAAAATATAACTCACACGAGCTATGTTTTGTGTTCTAGATTTTCATTTATAGTTTGATATTTTCTTAAGATGTCTAAAACCTATGTTGCAGCTTGAGCTAGTGAAGCTCGAAAATAATTCAATCTGTTTCAGTTTTCAAGGTCCACGAAACAGTCCATTTATATTCAGAATGTTCAGGCAGAGACTGGAGGCAAATTTCGTTGCGAAGTCTCAGCAGATGCCCCCTTTTTCAAGACTGCAGCTGCAGAACAATGGATGTCAATTCAAGGTAACGGAAAGAATGAAGATACATAAGAGTTAAAATAAATATAGTAACCCCACCTTTCTGATTGATTTCTACTTTATTTTTGATGAGACTTACTGCTAAACCACCGGGTGGGGGGTGGGGTGTCTCTCTTTATTACCTATTCTGTAATTTTTTTAGATTCTTTGATCTCGACATTAATTTTTGAAGATATTAGTCAATTGTTCTAATTATTTTTTCCGCACTAGCAAACTCCTGACTTATACAAGCAACGAAATCATTTTTTTCTGAAATGAATCGTTACTGTATTGTAATTAGTTATTGTGTTAAATGTAAATAAATAGGTATATATCTTATTTATATATATTAATATTCCGTGTCACATTTTCTTTATAAAATTATCGAATATCCAAGTTATGTTTAATTATATCTATCAGTGTTTTTATTTTAACTGAAACTGGTGCCTGTTGACCACGCGTGTCTGGATTGACAAAACTACAGTATCCCACTGCTGTCAAGACCAAAATGAAAATATAGTTTGTTTTTCATGCGCTACCGATCCTCACACGCTCACACAAAATGAAAATATAGTTTGTTTTTCATGCGCTACCGATCCTCACACGCTCACACAAAATCAAAATTTGTTTTTCGCAAAAACTTAATAAAGTATCTTTTCAAAATAATCTAAAGATCAATTTTCTAAACTTGTTTCAACTTGTTGCTGTTTTATATAACTTAGCTAAAATCAAGCTAAGAAAAATGGCCTAAAGTTAAAATAATTAAAGAAAGTGCTGATTGTGAACTTTTCTTTGAACATTTTTTTTTCTGTGTGAAAGGGTGAGATTTCTGGAAGAATAAAATATCGAAACTATTGAATATGGTTTTCATGTAACATGATATCGAATGAATATTTACGCAATCTCCAACTCACGAGTTCATCGTTACACGGTAGAACAAGTTCACATAATATACTTAAGGATACGTAATGCCTTTTTATTTTTCTAAAAAAATAGAAATATCTTAAAAACGGGAAAAGGGCCTACATGTAGTAGTCAAACTATTTGTGTAGCCATGGTGAACTTTTTTGTAACCTTAAAAACCGGAGAAGAGACTGCATGTAGTAGTCAAGACTACTTGTGTAGCTATGGTGAACTTTTTGTAACCTTAAAAACCGGAGAAGAGACTGCATGTAGTAGTCAAACTACTTGTGTAGCTATGGTGAATTTTTTGTAACCTTAAAAACCGGAGAAGAGACTGCATGTAGTATTCAAACTACTTGTGTAGCCATGGTGACTTTTTGTAACCTTAACAACCGGAGAAGAGACTGCATGTAGTATTCAAACTACTTGTGTAGCTATGGTGAACTTTTTGTAACCTTAAAAACCGGAGAAGAGACTGCATGTAGTATTCAAACTACATGTGCAGCTATGGTGAACTTTTTGTAACCTTAAAAACCGGAGAAGAGACTGCATGTAGTAGTCAAGCTACTTATGTAGCCATGGTGAACTTTTTGTAACCTTAAAAACGGGAGAAGGGTCTACATGTAATAGGCAAACTACTTGGGCAGTCATGTTGAACTTTTTTCATTTCTCCACAAATTTTGCGTTTAACGGTACCGTAGTTCAAAATATTCTAATTGGAATTATAAAACTAAGTATAATGTGAATAATATTTGCAGGTGGAGTATTTGATTTCACATTATTACTGTATTAGTTAGCTACAGGTGCTATCCGGTAAAACGTCATTTCCTGTATACAAAAAGTTTCAGAATATTCCTTTCAACGTATAGAACACACACACACACATATATATATACGTAGATATAGATGTGTAACAAACAGCTTGCTTAAAAGCTACTTCTATTTTTAATATTTTAACATTTAAACATTTTGGTAATAAGATTAAAGTTAAAAAAGCGTCCTTTACTCTCTAGATAATAATGATAAAAACTTTATTTCAGCCAACGTTTCGCCCTTGTGGCTCCTTTAGGGCTGGTAGTATAAGAACTGTTTTTAAATCAAATTATTTTCTTCACCACGCTTGTATTATTATCATACATTTACTATTTGTACCTTGTTTTTGTTGATAATGTGGTCGCAAGTCGGACGATATGTTAGTACACATTGTTATTATTTTGAATTTGTTTGGTTGTTAAGCACAAAACTACACAATAGGCTATCTGTGTTCTGCCCACTACAAGTTTTAGCGTCTTAAGCCTACAACTTAAAGCTGAGCCACTTGGAGGCTTATTTTGAATTATATATGTCAGCTGTTTTGTTCTGTTAAGACTGGGTCTGTGTTAACTAGGGTGTCTACTTTTCGAAGAAGGATCAAGGTGAACTGTTGAGGAAATTTTCTTTGGGTACTGGCTATGTCTCTTCATTAAACATGTTAACACTTCAGTACACAACGCTGCCTGAATTTCGCTGCATAAATGGTTGACTATATATGCATTTTTTCCTGTTCGTAGCAATATATTGTTAGCTAGATGTTGTTGTAAATTGCTTTCTCTCGATATTTCTAGAATTATTATTTAGCGCATGGTTTAAACAAAATGAACAGTTAAGTATTAAAATTGTAAGTGTTTAACTGTGTCCAGCTTTCCTTCCTTTCTGCCCCTGTGTTGAGTCCCGATTCTTTACCTGCTACTGTTTTGCTATCTTCATTTTTTGATACTTAGCTTGGGTTTGCCATGCAACTCAAATGTGGATAACACAACTGGCATGATAAAAGCAAGTGAAACATTGAATCTTATTAAATTACATTTAATATTACAGAATATTACAACATATATATATATATATATATGATTGAAATGCATGTATCACGGATGTATCGACGTATTGATACTTAATTGTAAGAATCTATAAATTTTCTTTTTGAAATGTGTACCAGTATTTTTTCTAGTGCCATATACATTTTAACAGCAAAGCTGCAACACCATTCAGAACATTTCTCGTGTTATTTTCGAGCTACGATTCTAAATAGCTGATGGTGAAAATACAATTATCGAGCTGAAAATGTCAATTCAAAGAACTTGAAACAGTACAGAACCTATAAGAATAATTATAATTTAGGCCGCTTCATTATACTTCTCTATTACTAACCTACATGCAACATTTCAGTCAAAATAATCAATCATACAATATAAATAAGGTACGTCAAAACATTTCAAAAGTGTTATAGTCAAAAGGTTTCAAAAGCCAAAGTAAATAATTTCTATTGCGATTTGCTTTCATGTCATGCTAAACAAATGAATACAAATACAAAAAAAAAAGAGATATACAGTCAGTACTCATCAGTTATCGTCGTCTTTCCTCAAGAATAAACAGCATCAGGAATACAATAGTTAGTTTAAACAAAGACTGTGATAAGAATATTAACAGAATGAGAAATATTAACATTCTTTTACTACTAGACAAAATCAAGTTTAAAACACAAAATTTTCCATTTTCTTGTCTGTGAACAAAAACACCTAAGAACAGCAGTTGTTCTTCAGACTCTTTTTTTCCGCTGTAAATTGAATGTGAATGTTGATAATGTTGAAAGTGGTAGTGATTCAAAACTTTTTCCAATTTTTTTAAAATTCAAAATGGTGCAAGTGTCAACCACGTATCATTTATAGCTTTTAATTTTGTAGGGGGGGGGCAGGTCTTTGAGGTTTTGTTTCCTTTTTATCTTTTTATATTACCTTTTGTTTCGTGGAAATATTTCAACGGTTTGCCAATGTTTGTAGTATGAAATATTTTTCAGACACTATCATCACTTCTTTTAAACATTCTAAAATGTGGGAGAAACGTAATATTAGTATTTATAAATAATATTTTCAAAATGTAACGCTAGAAGAAGCCGGAGTATGAAGTGTTGCAGTATTATTATTACTGTAGCCAGTTATCATGCATATTATTAATAAATATATGCTTATTTTTCATGTTCAGCCAAAGAAAATCACTTAAAGAATTAATTTAAGTGCCTCTAGGTGGATACTTAAAATTTATTGATAATGTCTTTTGTTTGAAATATGAAACTTTAACTTTAACAAAGCGCGTACAAATATTCAAAAAGTGGTAACTTTTGTATTATTTACTATTTTCTATTGAAGAGTTCCTCTTTATTGTTTCATATTGTAAATCCCCCCCTCTCAATGGCTCAGCAGTAAGTCTGCGGATTTATAACGCTAAAAATCGGGTTGCGATACCCATAGTAGGCACAACACTGATAGTCCATTGTGTAGATTTGGGCTTAACTAGAAACAAATATTGTAAATTTCATTTTCTTCAATTTGTTTTACCTTTACTGAAGGGCTAATTTTTGAATTATGTACAGCATGTTGATTATCTTGTATTTTATTTTACATCATGTACGGTATGTTTGTTATCTTGTATTTTATTTTACATTAGGTACAGTATGTTGATTACCTTGTATTTTATTTTACATTATGTACGGTATGTTTGTTATCTTGTATTTCATTTTACATTATGTACGGTATGTTTGTTATCTTGTATTTTATTTTATATTATGTATGGTATGTTTGTTATCTTGTATTTTGTTTTGAATTATGTACAGCATGTTGATTATCTTGTATTTTATTTTACATTATGTACGGTATGTTTGTTATCTTGTATTTTATTTTACATTATGTACGGCATGTTTGTTATCTTGTATTTTATTTTATATTATGTATGGTATGTTTGTTATCTTGTATTTTGTTTTGAATTATGTACAGTATGTTGATTATCTTGTATTTTGTTTTGAATTATGCACGGTATGTTGATTACCTTGTATTTTATTTTACATTATGTACGGTATGTTGATTATATTGTATTTTGTTTTGAATTATGTACGGTATGTTGATTATATTGTATTTTGTTTTGAATTATGTACGGTATGTTGATTATATTGTATTTTGTTTTGAATTATGTACGGTATGTTTATTACTTTGTATATTATTTTGAATTATGTACGGTATGTTTGTTACTTTGTATATTATTTTGAATTATGTACGGTATGTTTATTACTTTGTA